GAGAACGCCAGAACGCCAGCTCCTGCTCCTGTTTTCATTGTTTATTCTCAACAAACCCGTGCGTGTTCAACCTTTTCTCCCCAGGAGACGTGTTCTACGCTTTGCTGGGCGCGATGGCTGTCGCAGGCGGAATTTCCTTGGTTATCATCAAGCTGAGGTAATTCAGGGAAGGGGGGAGAGGGGAGGGAGGGGGGAGAGAGGAGGGAGGGACAGGCCGCCATCTTCCAGACTTCACAGGGGAGGTGTTCCCCCTGAGGGGAGCAGGCCTCCCAAGCCTTCCTCCCGGCTTCGCAGGGAAGGGAAATGTGCTCATAGGACGTTTGGTTTTTCTCCCGTCTGGATTTTAAGAGCAAGATGTGCATCGCATGTTGGACATCATTGCTTCCAAATAACTGCTCCCCCTCCTGCTCTCCCCCCCACCCCATCATCCACTCATTCGAACGGAGTTTCGTGTGATCACTATTCACACTGTTTCCACGCCTGCCCGACTCAGGTGGGTGTTCGCCGGGGGCTTCCCGGGTGTTCCGACCTGCAGACAAGGGCTCCATGGTGCGGACCGATGCTTCAGAAATGTCTGCGCAGCTTAGCGTGTGCTTCCTGAGCGTGGGAAGGCATCCTGACCACCGCCGACCCCAGCTCGGCCCGGTGCCGAAGCACGCGGGGCGCGACAGGGAGGTTCGAGAAACACCACCCAGTGCACCTCCAAATCTCAGGGATTCAAAATGCCTTAACTTATCTAGGAATGATAGGTAAACAATGTTTTCAATTTAAAACCAACCTCGTATTTAGCTATCAGGCACGTGCGCTTGGTTCCTCGTAACACACCTGTGCGTAATGCCCGAGTCGAGGTCGTCGATGCTAATGAAGAACCGCCTGGTGCTGGACCCCCGCACATAGCCGAATGTGCGGGAAGGCGACGTCTCCGTGGACGCAGACACCGAGTGGCCCAGATTCAGAGGCCGTTCCTCTTAGACCAGGACTCCTGGTGCCTACAGAGGACAGCGGCGCGTCTGCTCCGTCAGCTGCCTCGGTCCCCCGTACCACGTGTGCAAACCTCGAGTCCAGCGGGCCTGAACACCAGGCAGATACCATGCAGAACGGAGGAGGGCGGCCGGCCCGAGCGAGCCACGGCGCACCCCTGCGTGAGCTCGCTGCCTGAGGACGGTCAGATTATTTATTTTTAAAAGCAGCAGAGCGAAAGGAAACAGATCCCCTTGTTGGCTCCAACCCATCTAAACATTTAATTCGACGTTTACCAAACCCAGTACCAAAGCAAGCTGCTGTGCTCCAAGGCTTTACATTCTATATCTGCATGGGAAATTATTCCATGAGTCCCAACCTACAGTCTTGAAGGCCAAATAGAGTCCATTTCTAAGAGGAACATTGCGTTTGGAGTTTATTCCACTCTTCCTTTGTTGTTGCTTTTTTTCAAGTATTTGCGAGCACATTCAGTTACTCGGCTTACCTAGATAGGACATGACCAAGCTATTGTTTCAGAGAAATCGTTTTCTGGCCTAGAAAGTCTCTTACGTTTGCGGCTCTGCTCTTTGCTTCATAAATAGTGTCAGCCTTTTCCTCGAGCACAGGGGCCCTGAGCCTCTGCAGACAAAGCTGTGCCCTGGGTACAGAGCACGCAGCTAGGCACAATTCCCTGTGAGCCCGCAGCACTTGGCCGCTTTCCTGCCCGCGTCGAAGGGCAGGTCCTGAAGGGGTGCATGGCTACCGCACAGACAAAACCTTCACTTACCCAGCAAATTATTATCCAAGCAAACTATTCGTATTATAAATCACATTTACTGACAAGTTTTCTTCCATCCAGTTGAAAATTGTAGTGTGCAATGTTAGTTCCAGACCCAAGGTTACATAGAAGAAGAAAGCAAAAGCCATCATGGAAACTGCAAAAAGAAACTGGAGCCTGGCCAAGGAAACCACCACCTGCCCGTGGGGAGGGGGACGCTCACCTCCGAGGCCTGTCAGCAAAGGGACATCGCACGTGAGCATCGAACTCGCTGGAAATAAAATAGCCTCAAGTCCTACAACAAGATAGCAAAGAAACAGATAACCAAAAATGTACAAGAAAGAAAAGGTGGGGCTGGGAAGGTGGCTCAGGGGTAGAGCGCTTGCCTTGCACGCATGAGGCCCTGGGTTCGATTCCTCAGCACCACATAAGCAGAAAAAGCCAGAAGTGGCGCTGTGGCTCAAGTGGTAGAGCGCCAGCCTTGAGCTAAAGAGCTGAGGGACAGCGCCCAGGCCCAGAGTTCAGGCCCCATGATGGACAAAAAATCAAAAGGAAGAAAAGGAACATTTACCTAACAAAAGCCCTGACATTGGAAAGCACAGTTAATGGAGGAGGCGCTATAGAAAGGCCTTGGAGCCTTCCGCTATTGGCACAGTGCCTGCATAATCTTGTCTGCTTTTGCCTTCCGGGCACAGGAAGAAAAGCCCAGGAGACGATGTGAGCTCCTGGCAAGTGTCCCCATGCTGTGCTGTTCTCTGCTTCTATTTTCACACAGGCTCTTCAGGCTGTTGGCGCAGAAGAGAAACTCTTCACCAAACCAAAGCCCCTGACGAGAGCTCCTCTCCCAAGGACGGCCAGCCACGACCAGCCCTCCCACAGCCCCCCCCACCCCCCAACACCACATCCACCTTAATAAGGAAAATGGTCAGGCAGACAACGATATTGAGTCAGTAAGTATCATACTATGAGACAGCAATGTGGCATGATCCACTCAGATTTACGTTTGTTAATCAAATATTGAAGAAAATCATCTGGTACCTTGGATGAGTTGAGAATTACATTTCCCAGAATGGCTGAAAGTGTTACCCAAATTTACCATTTGTTTTGAATACCATAGTTATATGTAACATTAACTACTTGTAATATTATATGATGTTATTGTTAATGTTGTTTTTCCTGATAATCGCATAGGTTTCCATTAACTTGCCCTAAAACTATTAATAAAAATATTCAGCATACTTGCTATTTGCATGTTTCTTATCTATTTTCAAAATATTGGCTAAATTATCATCATTGATTTTACATTTCTAAGCACATTTGGTTAGACCAAACGTGAGTCTTTGAAACAAAATGACATCTTCAAATTTTCAAATTTGAGTGCTTTTGGATTTTACTTTTTTAACTGGAAGTCCTCCTGTTCATTAAAGTATAATTACACTGTCTGAGAAAATCCAACACACACTGCAAGCACACTGTGCTATCCCTGCAATTTTGATTTTGTCCCCTAACATTTTTCAAGTCCCTGCAATAATAAGACATGTTAACTAGCATTCTATACACAGTGAGTTCGGGCCTGGTCTGACATGCGTATAACTGTGGTTGGAAAGTCGTAGAAAGCCGAGCCATCGTTTTGAACACTTTTATTATGTTGTGCCCGCGATACTGCCGGGCACACTCACCATGCACGCGTGAGCGGCAGCTGCCCCGGGGTGCTCTGAACCCCAGGGGTGCTGCCGAGGGCATGTGGAAGGAAGCAGGCCCTGCGCTGTGCGGGAGGGCCATCGCCCCCAGCGCTGAGTGTGAGGTGTGCGGATACAGGACGCAGCAGAGGGGTTTTCAGGAGCATGCCGGGCAGAGCAGGGACAGGCAGACAGCAGTCTGTCCTCAGAGACAGACGCTGTCCTCGGGCTAGAAGAGGAAGAAGGGAACTACGCAGCCACCTGTCTCTGCAGCTAGAGGTCCCAAAGGACACAAGGAAGGACGTGAAGCTCTCAAATAGCAAGACTGAAACCTTCCCCTAAGACACAAACCCTTACCCAATGGCACAGATAATCTTTTTTGAATAGTTAATTATCCTTAAGTAGTTGCACCCGGGAGCTGCGGAGCAGTTTATGAACACGGGGATCTTGATTCATGTCACCTCTTCCACAGACCCTCCCCTTCCACAGACCCTCCCCTTCCACAGACCCTCCCCTTCCACAGACCCTCCCCTTCCACGGTCCCTCCCCTTCCACGGTCCCTCCCCTTCCACGGACCCTCCCCTTCCACGGTCCCTCCCCTTCCACAGACCCTCCCCTTCCACGGTCCCTCCCCTTCCACGGTCCCTCCCCTTCCACGGACCCTCCCCTTCCACGGTCCCTCCCCTTCCACGGACCCTCCCCTTCCACAGACCGTCCCCTTCCACAGACCCTCCCCTTCCACAGACCCTCCCCTTCCACAGACCCTCCCCTTCCACGGTCCCTCCCCTTCCACGGTCCCTCCCCTTCCACGGACCCTCCCCTTCCACGGTCCCTCCCCTTCCACGGTCCCTCCCCTTCCACGGTCCCTCCCCTTCCACAGACCCTCCCCTTCCACAGACCCTCCCCTTCCACAGACCGTCCCCTTCCACAGACCCTCCCCTTCCACGGTCCCTCCCCTTCCACGGTCCCTCCCCTTCCACGGACCCTCCCCTTCCACGGTCCCTCCCCTTCCACGGTCCCTCCCCTTCCACGGACCCTCCCCTTCCACAGACCCTCCCCTTCCACAGACCCTCCCCTTCCACAGACCCTCCCCTTCCACAGACCGTCCCCTTCCACAGACCCTCCCCTTCCACGGTCCCTCCCCTTCCACGGTCCCTCCCCTTCCACGGTCCCTCCCCTTCCACGGTCCCTCCCCTTCCACGGTCCCTCCCCTTCCTGGCGCTTCTTAATGTTGACTGCATTTCCCCCTCTTGCCCCTCTTCCCCTTGCCCCACCCCCTCCTTTAAGTACCTGCTTCTTGGTGTCTGATTTTCCTGAGCTTTTGCTTTGCCTTTCTAGGTAAGTACCCTATAGAAATCTCCCTTGAACTCACCGTATTTCAGGTAATACATTTGTTAACCTCCTGCGTATCACCCAACACGTGTACTAAGAATCCTAGTCAGAGGGTTTTCAAGTAAACGGCATTCGTGAGCAGGCCAGAGCGGCCATACTACCATCAGATGAGCCGGCCTTCCGGCCCCAAGCGCCTCTGCCCTCAGTGTCAGATCCCAGCTCCCGAGCTTGGCCTGCGCCAAACTTTCCTCTCAAGGACTTCTATCAGAGTGGCTCCGGATGTTCACGGAACGTTCATGCACTGGCTCCATCTCCCTGTGCGATCTGGGAGCAAACTGGGAATGCTGGGAGTGGGGGAGGGGGACGCGCCAGCCTGTGCTCCCCCTGCAGCCCACACACGGGACACAGCCGGCAGGGGGAGCACAGCAGGGGGAGCACAGCAGCAGGGGGAGCACAGCAGGGGGAGCACAGCAGGGGGACCACAGCAGGGGGAGCACAGCAGCAGGGGGAGCACAGCAGGGGGAGCACAGCAGCAGGGGGAGCACAGCAGGGGGAGCACAGCAGGGGGAGCACAGCAGGGGGAGCACAGCAGGGGAGCACAGCAGGGGGAGCACAGCAGGGGGAGCACAGCAGGGGAGCACAGCAGGGGGAGCACAGCAGGGGGGGAGCACAGCAGCAGGGGGAGCACAGCAGGGGGAGCACAGCAGCAGGGGGAGCACAGCAGGGGGAGCACAGCAGCAGGGGGAGCACAGCAGGGGGAGCACAGCAGCAGGGGGAGCACAGCAGCAGGGGGAGCACAGCAGGGGGAGCACAGCAGCAGGGGGAGCACAGCAGGGGGAGCACAGCCGCAGGGGGAGCACAGCCGCAGGGGGAGCATAGCGGCAGGGGGAGCACAGCAGCAGGGGCAGCACAGCAGGGGGAGCACAGCAGGGGGAGCACAGCAGGGGGAGCATAGCAGCAGGGGGAGCACAGCAGGGGGAGCACAGCAGGGGGAGCACAGCAGGGGGAGCACAGCAGCAGGGGGAGCACAGCAGCAGGGGCAGCACAGCAGGGGGAGCACAGCAGCAGGGGGAGCACAGCAGCAGGGGGAGCACAGCAGGGGGAGCACAGCAGGGGGAGCACAGCAGCAGGGGGAGCACAGCAGCAGGGGGAGCACAGCAGGGGGAGCACAGCAGCAGGGGGAGCACAGCAGCAGGGGGAGCACAGCAGCAGGGGGAGCACAGCAGGGGGAGCACAGCAGCAGGGGGAGCACAGCAGGGGGAGCACAGCAGCAGGGGGAGCACAGCAGCAGGGGGAGCACAGCAGGGGGAGCACAGCAGGGGGAGCACAGCAGCAGGGGGAGCACAGCAGCAGGGGCAGCACAGCAGGGGGAGCACAGCAGCAGGGGCAGCACAGCAGCAGGGGGAGCACAGCAGGGGGAGCACAGCAGGGGGAGCACAGCAGCAGGGGGGCACAGCAGTAGGGGGAGCACAGCAGGGGGAGCACAGCAGCAGGGGGAGCACAGCAGGGGAGCACAGCAGCAGGGGGAGCACAGCAGCAGGGGGAGCACAGCAGGGGAGCACAGCAGCAGGGGGAGCACAGCAGGGGGAGCACAGCAGCAGGGGGAGCACAGCAGCAGGGGGAGCACAGCAGCAGGGGGAGCACAGCAGGGGGAGCACAGCAGCAGGGGGAGCACAGCAGGGGAGCACAGCAGCAGGGGGAGCACAGCAGGGGGAGCACAGCAGCAGGGGGAGCACAGCAGGGGGAGCACAGCAGCAGGGGGAGCACAGCAGCAGGGGGAGCACAGCAGGGGGAGCACAGCAGCAGGGGGAGCACAGCAGCAGGGGGAGCACAGCAGGGGAGCACGGCAGGGGGAGCATAGCAGGGGAGCACAACTTACGCTCTCATTTCTCCGTGGCTGCGTGCAGGCACTGGATTCCATGGCGCTGATGAAGGGTGTGGTGTGGACACCGGACGCCTGGGCACGCAGGGCAGGGCCGTGAGACCGGCTCCTGCCACTGGCCACAGCCCCTTGGGACAAGATATCCCCAGCAATAGTTAACAGATGCGAGCCCTGCTTGACACCAACCTTCTGCTGCTAGAGCTTAGGTGGGGTCGGAGGCAGCTCCGGCTCTCGGTCGGTAACTCCACTGACCTCGGAGGAAGGCAGAGCTCCAGGAGCGCCGCGCAGAACACGGCTGCCACACGCCAGGCCACACTCACACACCACTGACACACGCCAGGCCACACTCACACACCACTGACACGCCAGGCCACACTCACACACCACTGACACACGCCAGGCCACACTCACACACCACTGACACACGCCAGGCCACACTCACACACCACTGACACGCCAGGCCACACTCACACACCACTGACACACGCCAGGCCACACTCACACACCACTGACACGCCAGGCCACACTCACACATCACTGACGCACGCCAGGCCACACTCACACACCACTAACGCACGCCAGGCCACACTCACACACCACTGACACGCCAGGCCACACTCACACACCACTGACGCACGCCAGGCCACACTCACACACCACTGACACGCCAGGCCACACTCACACACCACTGACACGCCAGGTCACACTCACACACCACTGACGCACGCCAGGCCACACTCACACACCACTGACGCACACCAGGCCACACTCACACACCACTGACGCCGCGCCGTGCTGAGCAGCTGGGTTAAGTACGAGCACCGCAGGCCGTACGTAGGGAGATCTGAATTCAATGCTCACACATTCTAAATTAAGAACTTATTTCTACACGTTTTATTCTTTGCTCACAGCTTGCAGTTAGGCTGAGGCTGGCCCGCTTTCCGCCGACGCTCACGGCTGCCTTGGTGCATCCTCCATGAGACCCCTTCCCTCCCCATCCCGCCTGCATGCGCTCTGCAGGGTCTCACAGATCCGCTCGGGTCAGGGCTGGAAGGCGGCGCGCGCCACTTTGGAGTTTGTGGTTTTGTTCAGAGCTTTACAGATGAAGTCCCCAGCTCGCATCACCTTGTGCAGATCCACGCCCTGGGGGGAAGGGAACGGGGGGGGGGAGGGGATTTAGACAGGGAGAGAGAGAGAGGAGACACACAGACACACAGACACACACAGAGAAAACAGAGCTTTAAAATTTGACCAGAAACCAGCCATTTTAAAGTCCACTGTTTGTCACCCCTGCCAGGTGGAGTCCCAGCCTGGCTCCTGTGACCGCCACGCACAGCCTGTGCACTGGCCGGGGCTGGGCCGCATCCACCCCACCCCCCCCCCCCCGGCCACCCCAGGGTCCTCCTTCAGCACCAGACACGACCGGGACTCAAAGGTCAACAGCCTCCATCACCCCAGAAGTCCAGCCTTGTTTCCTATCATAGATACGTCAGTATTCGCTGTTTCCAAAAATGCAGACATCTTTATTTCGTCTCAGAGCGCTGTTTGCTTTCCAGCAGATCACATTTTGGAGTGATCAAACACTACTCAGTAAAGCGGCATCTCAGGAGGCGCTGTGATGGAAATCGTTCACATGGGTGTGTGAGGACGGAGGTCTGGATCCCGCGCATGCGTGTGCATGTGCATGTGTGTAGGTAATGGATGGAAACGGGAGGCTGTGCTCCCTGGTTAGCGGCGTGGACACAGGTGCATCCTGGTGACTATGGAGATGGAGGGGGGACAGCCAGCCAGGAGGAGCTGGGGCAGGGCGGGCGCGGCGGCGCTGACCCAGGCGCGGGTGGAGTGTGGGAGCCCTCGGGAGGGAGCGGGAGCAGGCGCTGCGCCCAGAACAGCAGGAATCCTAGAAGGAGATCAGAACTATGGCTGGAAATGCCATCCTCCATGTTTCTCTCTGGTTTTGGAGGAGATATATGCGGCCACTGCTGGACTCGTGCTAGCACACTGAGACGGCCGCAGATGGCCACACGGAGAACGAATTCAAAGCCACAGCTGGGACCGTAAAGGACTGCACACACTATGGAAGTCAGCATGGGAGCTCCTCAAGATGCTGACATCAGACCTGCACACGCTCCCGCTACCCAACAGACAGAGAGAGTACAGCAACGCAGACCTACACACGCTCCTGTCTACCCAACAGAGAGAGAGTACAGCAACGCAGACCTACACACGCTCCTGTCTACCCAACAGACAGAGAGAATAGAGCAACGCAGACCTACACACGCTCCTGTCTACCCAACAGACAGAGAGAGTACAGCAACGCAGACCTACACACGCTCCTGTCTACCCAACAGAGAGAGAGAGTACAGCAACACAGACCTACACACACTCCTGTCTACCCAACAGAGAGAGAGAGTACAGCAACACAGACCTACACACACTCCTGTCTATCCAACAGAGAGAGAGAGTACAGCAACGCAGACCTACACACGCTCCTGTCTACCCAACAGAGTGAGAGAGTACAGCAACACAGACCTACACACACTCCTGTCTACCCAACAGAGAGAGAGTACAGCAACACAGACCTACACACACTCCTGTCTATCCAACAGAGAGAGAGAGTACAGCAACGCAGACCTACACACGCTCCTGTCTACCCAACAGAGAGAGAGAGTACAGCAACACAGACCTACACACACTCCTGTCTACCCAACAGAGAGAGAGTACAGCAACACAGACCTACACACACTCCTGTCTATCCAACAGAGAGAGAGAGTACAGCAACGCAGACCTACACACGCTCCTGTCTACCCAACAGAGAGAGAGTACAGCAACGCAGACCTACACACGCTCCTGTCTACCCAACAGAGAGAGAGTACAGCAACGCAGACCTACACACGCTCCTGTCTACCCAACAGACAGAGAGAGAGAGTACAGCAACGCAGACCTACACACGCTCCTGTCTACCCAACAGACAGAGAGAGTACAGCAATACAGACCTACACACGCTCCTGTCTACCCAACAGACAGAGAGAGTACAGCAACGCAGACCTACACACGCTCCTGTCTACCCAACAGACAGAGAGAGAGAGTACAGCAACGCAGACCTACACACACTCCTGTCTACCCAACAAAGAGAGAGATTACAGCAATACAGACCTACACACGCTCCTGTCTACCCAACAGAGAGAGAGTACAGCAACACAGACCTACACACGCTCCTGTCTACCCAACAGACAGAGAGAGTACAGCAACGCAGACCTACACACGCTCCTGTCTATCCAACAGACAGAGAGTACAACAACACAGACCTACACACGCTCCTGTCAACCCAACAGACAGAGAGAGAGAGTACAGCAACACAGACCTACACACCCTCCTGTCTACCCAACAGACAGAGAGTACAACAACACAGACCTACACACGCTCCTGTCTACCCAACAGACAGAGAGTACAGCAACGCAGACCTACACACGCTCCTGTCTACCCAACAGACAGAGAGAGTACAGCAACGCAGACCTACACACGCTCCTGTCTACCCAACAGACAGAGAGAGTACAGCAACACAGACCTACACACGCTCCTGTCTACCCAACAGACAGAGAGAGAGAGTACAGCAACGCAGACCTACACACGCTCCTGTCTACCCAACAGAGAGAGAGATTACAGCAATGCAGACCTACACACGCTCCTGTCTACCCAACAGATAGAGAGTACAGCAACGCAGACCTACACACGCTCCTGTCTACCCAACAGACAGAGAGAGAGAGTACAGCAACACAGACCTACACACGCTCCTGTCTACCCAACAGAGAGAGAGAGTACAGCAACGCAGACCTACACACGCTCCTGTCTACCCAACAGAGGAAGTACAGCAACGCAGACCTACACACGCTCCTGTCTACCCAACAGAGAGAGAGTACAGCAACACAGACCTACACACGCTCCTGTCTACCCAACAGACAGAGTACAGCAACGCAGACCTACACACGCTCCTGTCTATCCAACAGAGAGAGAGTACAGCAACGCAGACCTACACACGCTCCTGTCTACCCAACAGACAGAGAGAGTACAGAAACACAGACCTACACACACTCCTGTCTACCCAACAGACAGAGAGAGAGTACAGCAACACAGACCTACACATGCTCCTGTCTACCCAACAGACAGAGAGAGAGTACAACAACACAGACCTACACACGCTCCTGTCTACCCAACAGAGAGAGAGAGAGTACATCAAGACAGACCTACACACGCTCCTGTCTACCCAACAGACAGAGAGAGTACAGCAACACAGACCTACACACGCTCCTGTCTATCCAACAGACAGAGAGAGTACAGCAACACAGACCTACACATGCTCCTGTCTAGCCAACAGACAGAGAGAGAGAGTACAGCAACGCAGACCTACACACGCTCCTGTCTACTCAACAGAGAGAGAGTACAGCAACACAGACCTACACACGCTCCTGTCTACCCAACAGACAGAGAGAGTACAGCAACGCAGACCTACACACGATCCTGTCTACCCAAAAGACAGAGAGAGTACAGCAACGCAGACCTACACACGCTCCTGTCTACCCAACAGACAGAGAGAGAGTACAGCAACACAGACCTACACACGCTCCTGTCTACCCAACAGAGAGAGAGAGTACAGCAACGCAGACCTACACACACTCCTGTCTACCCAACAAAGAGAGAGATTACAGCAATACAGACCTACACACGCTCCTGTCTACCCAACAGAGAGAGAGTACAGCAACACAGACCTACACACGCTCCTGTCTACCCAACAGACAGAGAGAGTACAGCAACGCAGACCTACACACGCTCCTGTCTATCCAACAGAGAGAGAGTACAGCAACACAGACCTACACACGCTCCTGTCTATCCAACAGACAGAGAGTACAGCAACACAGACCTACACACGCTCCTGTCTATCCAACAGACAGAGAGTACAACAACACAGACCTACACACGCTCCTGTCTACCCAACAGACAGAGAGAGAGAGTACAGCAACACAGACCTACACACCCTCCTGTCTACCCAACAGACAGAGAGTACAACAACACAGACCTACACACGCTCCTGTCTACCCAACAGACAGAGAGTACAGCAACGCAGACCTACACACGCTCCTTTCTACCCAACAGACAGAGAGAGTACAGCAACGCAGACCTACACACGCTCCTGTCTACCCAACAGACAGAGAGAGTACAGCAACACAGACCTACACACGCTCCTGTCTACGCAACAGACAGAGATAGAGAGTACAGCTACGCAGACCTACACACGCTCCTGTCTACCCAACAGAGAGAGAGATTACAGCAATGCAGACCTACACACGCTCCTGTCTACCCAACAGATAGAGAGTACAGCAACGCAGACCTACACACGCTCCTGTCTACCCAACAGACAGAGAGAGAGAGTACAGCAACACAGACCTACACACGCTCCTGTCTACCCAACAGAGAGAGAGAGTACAGCAACGCAGACCTACACACGCTCCTGTCTACCCAACAGAGGAAGTACAGCAACGCAGACCTACACACGCTCCTGTCTACCCAACAGAGAGAGAGTACAGCAACACAGACCTACACACGCTCCTGTCTACCCAACAGACAGAGTACAGCAACGCAGACCTACACACGCTCCTGTCTATCCAACAGAGAGAGAGTACAGCAACGCAGACCTACACACGCTCCTGTCTACCCAACAGACAGAGAGAGTACAGAAACACAGACCTACACACACTCCTGTCTACCCAACAGACAGAGAGAGAGTACAGCAACACAGACCTACACATGTTCCTGTCTACCCAACAGACAGAGAGAGAGTACAACAGCACAGACCTACACACGCTCCTGTCTACCCAACAGAGAGAGAGAGAGTACAGCAACACAGACCTACACACGCTCCTGTCTACCCAACAGACAGAGAGAGTACAGCAACACAGACCTACACACGCTCCTGTCTATCCAACAGACAGAGAGAGTACAGCAACACAGACCTACACACGCTCCTGTCTAGCCAACAGACAGAGAGAGAGAGTACAGCAACGCAGACCTACACACGCTCCTGTCTACTCAACAGAGAGAGAGTACAGCAACACAGACCTACACACGCTCCTGTCTACCCAACAGAC